GCATACACACAATCAGCTATACCAGACATAACACACCGTAAGTATACCACACACACACAGTACCAGACACACACACAGTATACCAGACACACACCGAAGGCTCAGACATAATACACCGAAGCATACCAGACATAACACACAGTAGTATACCAGACACACACACACCGAAGTATACTCAGACATAACACACAGTAGTATACTGTATAATACACAGTAGTATACCAGATATAGCCACACCGAAGTATACATAACACACAGTAGCCTGCATATAACACACAGTAGTATACCAGACATAATACACAGAAAGTATACCAGACATAACACACCGAAGTATACCAGACATATCAATACAGTATACCACATACACACAGTAGTATACCAGACATAATACACCGAAGTATACCAGACATAATACACCGAAGCATACCAGACATAACACACAGTATACCAGACATAATACACAGTAGTATACCAGACATAATAAATCGAAGCATACCAGACACACACACAGCAGTATACCAGACAACACACATGGTAGCATACCAGACATAATACAATCGAAGCATACCAGACACACACACAGTAGCATAACACAAAACACACAGTAGCATACCAGACATAACACACAGTAGTATACCAGACACACACATGGTACTATACCAGACATACACACACAGTAGTATACCAGACATAATACACCGAAGTATACCAGACATAACACACCGAAGTATACCAGACATAACACACAGTAGCATAACAGACACACACACACAGTAGTATACCAGAGGCAATACAAACGAAGTATACCAGACATACCACACGTAAGTATACCAGCATAACACACAGTAGTATACCAGACATAAGGTCAATCGGGAAGTATACCAGACATACACACAGTGAGTATACCAGACATAACACACAGTAGTACCAGACATGCACACACAGTAGTATACCAGACACACACACCGAAGCATACGAGACACACACACAGTAGTATACCAGACATACACACAGCAGGCTACACCAGACATACACACAGTAGTATACCAGACATAATACACAGTATACCAGACATAACACACAGTAGTATACCAGACATAACACACAGACATAACACACAGATGACACACACAATATACAAGGTAAATAGTAGTATACCAGACATAACACACAGTAGTATACCAGACATAATACACAGTAGTATACCAGACATAACACATAGTAGTATACCAGACATACACACAGTAGTACACAGACATAATACAATCGAAGTATACCAGATACAATACACAGTAGTATACCAGACATAATACACAGTAGTATACCAGAGCATAATACACCGAAGCATACCAGACATAACACACAGTAGTATACCAGACATAATACACCGTGCGATACCGCATTACAATACACGAAGCATAACAGACATAATACACAGTAGTATACCAGACATACTGCATACAGTAGTATACCAGACATACACAATCAGCATACCAGACATACACACAGTATACCAGACATAAACAATGAAGCATACCAGACATAACACAATCGAAGTATACCAGACACACACACAGTAGTATACCAGACATAATACACCGAAGCATACCAGACATAACACACAGTAAGTATACCAGACATAAGACACCGAAGTATACCACAGACATAATACAACGAAGTATACCACATAATACACAGTAGTATACCAGACATAAATACGAAGTATACCAGACATAACACACAGTAGTATTCAGCATTACACACACGGTAGCACTGCATACAATACACCGAAGTATACCAGACATAATACACAGTAGTATACTGCATTACACACACAGTAGTATACCAGACATAATACACCGAAGCATATCACCCATAATACACCGAAGCATACCAGACATAACACACAGCAGTATACCAGACATAACACACACAGTAGCATACCAGACATAATACACAGTATGCTCAGACATAATACACCGGGAAGTATATATCACCCATAATACACCGAAGTATACTAGACATACACACAGTAGTATACCAGACATACACACAGTAGTATACCAGACATGATACACAGTAGCATACCAGACATAACACACACAGTAGTATACTGCGACATAACACACACCGAAGTATACCAGACATAATACACCGTAGTATACCAGACATAACACACCGAAGTATACCAGACATACACAGTAGTATACCAGAGACATAACACACAGTAGTATACCAGACATACAACACACCGAAGCAGCCTGGGTGACATAATACATAGTAGTATACTGTGACATAACACACCGAAGTATACCCAGACATAACACACAGTAGTATACCGACATAACACACCGAAGCATACCAGACATAATACACAGTAGTATACCAGACATAATACACCGAAGTATACCAGACACACACCGAAGTATACCAGACATAATACACAGGTGGTTAACAGACATAACAGACCGAAGCATACCAGACATAACACACAGGTAGTATGCTCAGACATACACACCGAAGCATACCCAGACATAATACACTGAAGATGCTCAAGACATATATTGCAGTATACCAGACATACACACACCGAAGCATACCAGATATACACCGAAGCATACCAGACATAATAATAATCGAAGTATACCAGACATAATACACCGAAGTATACCTCAGACATAATACATACAGTATGTACTGACATAACACACCGAAGTATACCAGACATAACACAGTAGGCATACCAGACATAATACACCGAAGTATACAGACATAATACACAGTATACCAGACATACACACAGTAGTATAACAGACATACACAACGAAGTATACCAGAAGGTAGTATACCAGAAGACACCATCAAGGGCGGTTAAGCAAGACTGCCTGCTCACCGCCTGCAGAGTGTGAGGAGACACTGAGAGGGGTGAGGGGAGATACTGAGAGGAGAGGAGATACTGAGAGGTGAGAGATACTGAGGGGTGAGGGGAGACACTGAGAGGGTGAGGGGAGATACTGGAGAGGGTGTGAGGGGAGATACTGAGGGGGTGAGGGGAGATACTGAGAGGGGTGAGGGGAGATACTGAGAGGGTGAGGGGAGACACTGAGGAGGAGGGAGATAATGAGAGGTGAGGGAGAGGGTGAGGGAGATACTGAGAGGGGTGAGGGGAGATACTGAGAGGGGTGAGGGGAGATACTGAGAGGGGTGAGGGGAGACATGAGAGGGGTGAGGGAGATACTGGAGAGGTGAGGGGAGATACGAGAGTGAGGGGAGACATTGAGAGGGGTAGGGAGACACTGAGAGGGGTGAGGGGAGATACTGAGAGGGGAGGGAGATACTGAGAGGTGAGGGGAGATATGAGAGAGGTGAGGGAGATACTGAGAGGAGGAGACATGAGAGGTGAGGGAGACACGATGAGGAGATACTGGAGAGGTGAGGAGATACTGAGAGGTGAGGGAGATACGAGGTGAGGAGAGATACTGGAGAGGTGAGGGGAGACACTGAGGAGGAGGAGAGATACTGAGAGGTGAGAAACTGAGAGGTGAGGGGAGATACTGAGAGGGTGAGGGGAGATACTGAGAGGGTGAGGGAGATACTGAGAGGTGTGAGGGGAGATACTGAGGTGAGGAGAGATACTGAGAGGGTGAGGGGAGACATGATGAGTGAGGGGAGATACTGAGGGGTGAGACACAGGTGAGGGAGACACTGAGAGTGAGGGAGATATTGGGAGAGGTGAGGGAGATACTGAGAGGGTGAGGGGAGATAATGAGAGGAGTGAGGGGAGATACTTGAGAGTGAGGGGAGACATGAGAGGGGAGGGGAGATACGCTGGAGGAGGGGAGATACTGAGAGGGGAGGGGAGACTGAGGGGTGAGGGGAGATACTGGGGGAGAGGAGAGGATGAGAGGGGTGAGAGAGATACTGAGAGGGTGGGAGGGAGATACTGAGGAGTGAGGGGAGATATTAGAGGAGAGGGAGATACTGAGAGGGTGAGGGGAGATACTGGGAGAGGGTGAGGGGAGATACTGAGAGGGGGGGGGAGATACTGAGGAGTGAGGGAGATACTGAGAGTGAGAGGGAGATACTGAGAGGTGAGGGGAGACACGAGGAGGGTGAGGGGAGATACTGAGAGGGTGGGGGGAGATACTGAGGAGTGAGGGGAGATACTGAGAGGGTGAGGGGAGATACTGAGAGGGTGAAGGGAGATACTGGAGAGGGTGAGGGGAGGATGAGAGGGTGGGGGGAGATACTGAGGAGGGGGGAGACACTGGAGAGTGAGGGGAGATACTGAGAGGGGAGGGAGATACTGAGAGGTGAGGGAGATACTGAGAGGGGTGAGGGAGATACTGGAGGAGGAGGGGAGACACTGGAGAGGGTGAGGGGAAGGGCTGAGAGGGGAGGGAGACACTGAGAGTGAGACACTGAGAGGTGAGGAGAGACATGGAGAGGGGTGAGGAGAGGCTGAGAGGGAGACATGAGAGGTGAGGAGATACTGAGAGGGGAGGAGATACTGGAGGTGAGGAAGGAGAGGGAGACACGAGAGGGTGAGGGAGATACGGGTGAGGAGTGAGGGGAGATACTGAGAGGGTGAGAGGGAGACATACTGAGAGGTGAGGGGAGACACGAGGAGGAGAGGGGAGACAGAGAGGGTGAGGGAGACACGAGAGGGTGAGGGGAGACTGAGAGGTGAGGAGATACAGAGGAAGGGGAGACATGGGAGAGGGGTGAGGGGAGATGAGGAGAGGGAGACACGAGGAGTGAGGGGAGATACTGGAGAGTGAGGGGAGATACTGAGGGGTGAGGGGAGATACTGAGAGGGGTGAGGGAGATACTGGGGAGGAGGGGAGATACTGAGGGGTGAGGGGAGCTGGAGGAGTGAGGGAGATACTGGGAGGAGTGAGGGGAGATACTGAGGAGTGAGGGGAGATACTGAGAGGGTGAGGGGAGACATGAGAGGGGTGAGGGGAGATTGAGAGGGGTGAGGGGAGATACTGAGAGGGGTGAGGGGAGATACTGGAGGAGTGAGGGGAGATACTGAGGAGAGGGGAGATACTGAGAGGGTGAGGAGACATACTGGAGGAGTGAGGAGATACTGGAGAGTGTGGAGGGAGAGGGGAGGGAGATACGAGAGGTGAGGAGACACTGAGGAGTGAGGGGAGATACTGAGAGGGTGAGGGAGATACTGGAGAGGGTGAGGGGAGACACTGAGAGGAGGGGAGATACTGAGAGGGGTGAGGGGAGATACTGAGAGGTGAGGGAGACACCGAGAGGGGTGAGGGGAGATACTGAGAGGGTGAGGGGAGATACGAGGGGTGAGGGGAGACACTGAGAGAGTGAGGGGAGATACTAGAGGTGAGGGAGATACTGAGAGGGTGAGGGAGATACTGGAGAGGTGAGGGGAGACATGAGAGGGGTGAGAGACACTGAGAGTGAGGGGAGATACTGAGAGGGTGAGGGAGCATGGAGAGAGAGTGAGGGGAGACATGGAGAGGGGTGAGGGAGATACTGAGAGGGGTGAGGGGAGACACTGAGGTGAGGGGAGATACTGAGAGAGGAGATACTGGAGAGGTGAGGGGACATTGAGAGGTGAGGGGAGATACTGAGAGTGAGGGGAGATACTGAGAGGGGGAGGAGATACTGAGGAGGAGGAGACACGAGAGGTGAGGAGACACTGAGGGGGTGAGGGGAGATACTGAGGAGAGGGGAGATACTGAGAGGGGAGGGGAGATACTGAGAGGTGAGGAGATACTGAGGAGTGAGGAGATACTGAGAGGGTGAGGGGAGACATTGAGGGGTGAGGGGAGATACTGAGAGTGAGGGGAGACATGAGAGGGTGAGGGAGATACTGAGAGGTGAGGGGACACTGAGAGAGGAGGGAGATACTGAGAGGGGAGGGGAGAGACTGGAGAGGGGGAGGGGACATGAGGTGAGGCTGAGAGAGGGAGGGGAGATACTGAGAGGGTGAGGGGAGACAAGGGGTGAGGAGACATGAGAGGGGAGAGGCTGAGGGAGGGGAGATACTGAGGGGTGAGGGGAGAGAGGAGAGGGGAGAGACATGAGAGGGGAGGGAGATACTGAGAGGTGAGGGGAGACACTGAGAGAGGAGGAGACATGAGAGGTGAGGGAGACATGAGAGGGTAGGGAGATACTGAGAGGAGAAAGAGGTGAGGAGATACTGAGAGGGTGAGGAGATTGAAATGAGGAGATACTGGAGAGTGAGGAGATACTGGAGGTGAGGAGATACTGAGAGGGTGAGGAGATACTGAGAGGGGTGAGGGAGATACTGAGGAGTGAGGGAAACGAGAGAGGAGGGAGATACGAGAGGGTGAGGGAGACACAGAGGAGGAGGGGAGATACTGAGGAGAGGAGGAGATACTGAGAGGTGAGGAGATACTGAGAGGGGTGAGGGGAGACACGGAGAGGGTGAGGGGAGATACGGGAGGGGTGAGGGAGATACTGAGAGTGAGGGGAGATACTGAGAGAGTGAGGGGAGATACTGAGAGGGGGAGGAGATACTGAGAGGGTGAGGGAGAGACTGAGAGGTGAGAGGAGACGAGGGGTGAGGGAGATACTGAGAGGGGAGGGGAGATACGGAGAGGGGTGAGGGGAGATACTAGAGAGGTGAGGGAGATACTGGAGAGGGTGAGAGACATGAGAGGTGAGAGATACTGAGAGGTGAGGGAGACATGAGAGGTGAGGAGATTGAGGTGAGGAGAGACATGAGGGAGGGAGATACTGAGGAGGAGACACTGAGAGGTGGGGAGGAGATACTGGAGAGGGTGAGGGAGACACTGAGAGGGTGAGGAGGAGATACTGGAGAGGGTGAGGAGATACTGAGAGGGTGAGGGGAGATACTGAGAGGGTGAGGGGAGATACTGGAGAGGGTGAGGAGACATGAGAGGGGTGAGGGGAGACTGAGAGGTAGGGAGATACTGGAGGGGTGAGGGACAGATGGAGAGGGGAGGGAGCTGGAGAGGTGAGGAGATACTGAGAGGGAGGGAGACATGAGGGGTGAGGGGAGATACTGAGAGGGGTGAGGGGAGACACGAGAGGGGTGAGGGAGATACTGAGAGGGTGAGGGGAGACATGAGAGGGTGAGGAGACATTGAGGGGTGAGGGAGACATGAGAGGGTGAGGGGAGATACTGAGAGGGGTGAGGGAGATACGAGAGGAGGGAGACAGGGGTGAGGAGACACGAGAGGTGAGGAGATACTGAGAGGGTGAGGGGAGATACTGAGAGGTGAGGAGATACTGAGAGGGTGAGGAGATACTGAGAGGGGTGGAGGGAGATACTGAGGGGTGAGGAGATACTGAGGGTGAGGGGAGATACTGAGAGGTGAGGGAGATACTGAGAGGGGAGGGGAGATACTGAGAGGGTGAGGAGATACTGGGAGAGGGTGGTGAGAGACAGAGGTGAGGGGAGACATGAGAGGGTGAGGGAGATACTGGAGGAGGAGGGGAGATACTGAAGGTGAGGGAGACATTGAGAGGTGAGGGAGACATTGGAGAGGTGAGGGAGATACGAGAGGGGTGAGGGAGACACTGAGAGAGGAGGGAGGAATGAGAGAGAAGGCATGAGAGGTGAGGGGAGACACTGGGAGGTGAGGAGATACTGAGAGGGGTGAGGGGAGATACTGAGAGGGAGGGAGATACTGGAGAGGTGAGGAGATACTGAGGTGAGGGGAGATACGAGAGGAGGGAGACATGAGAGGGGAGGGAGATACTGGGAGAGGTGAGGAGACACGGGAGAGTGAGGGGAGATACTGAGAGGAGGAGATACTGAGAGGGTGAGGAGATACTGAGAGGTGAGGAGATACTGGAGGAGAGGGGAGACACAGAGAGGTGAGGAGACACTGAGGAGTGAGGGAGATACTGAGAGGTGGGGGGAGACACGAGAGGGGTGAGGAGACACTGAGAGGGTGAGGGGGAGACTGAGAGGGGGTGAGGGGAGACATGAGAGGTGAGGGGAGACATGAGAGGTGAGGGGAGACACGGGAGGGGTGAGGGAGACACTGAGGTGAGGGAGATACGAGAGGGTGGGGAGGGAGATACTGAGAGGGGTGAGGGAGAGATACTGAGAGGGGTGAGGGAGACATTGGAGAGGTGAGAGATACTGGAGAGGTGAGGGGAGATACAGGTGAGGGAGACACTGAGGTGAGGGAGACACTGAGAGGGGTGAGGGAGACAGAGGTGAGGGAGGAGGATGAGGTGAGGGAGACATGAAGGGTGAGGGATACTGAGAGGGTGAGGGAGACACTGAGAGGGTGAGGGGAGATACAGAGGGTGGAGGGGAGATACTGAGGGGTGAGGGATAACGAGAGGGTGAGGGAGATACTGAGAGGTGAGGGAGATACTGAGAGTGTGAGGAGATACTGAGAGGGTGGGAGGGAGACACGAGGAGGAGGGGAGATACGAGAGTGTGAGGAGATACTGAGAGGTGAGGGAGATACTGAGAGGGTGAGGGAGATACTGAGAGGGGTGGAGGGGAGATACTGAGAGGGGGTGAGGGAGATACTGAGAGGTGGAGGGGAGATACTGAGAGGGTGAGGACACTGAGGGGTGAGGGGAGATACTGAGAGGGTGAGGGGAGATACTGAGAGGGTGAGGGAGATACTGAGAGGGGTGAGGGAGATACTGGAGAGTGTGAGGAGATACTGAGAGGTGGGGAGGGAGATACTGAGAGGGGAGGGAGATACTGAGAGAGGTGAGGGAGATACTGGAGGAGGAGGGAGACATGAGAGGGTGAGGAGACTGGGAGGGAGGAGGGGAGATACTGAGAGGGGTGTGAGGGAGATACTGAGGAGGAGGGGAGATACTGAGAGGGTGGGGGAGACTGGAGAGGTGAGGGAGATACTGAGAGGGTGAGGGAGATACTGGAGAGGGTGAGGGAGATACTGAGAGGTGAGGGGAGAGATGAGGGAGGGGAGATACTGAGAGGGGTGAGGAGATACTGAGAGGTGAGGGAGAGATACTGGAGAGGGTGAGGGAGATACTGAGAGGGGTGAGGGGAGATACTGAGAGGAGGGGAGACACAGAGGTGAGGGAGACATGAGAGGGTGGGGAGGAGATACTGAGGGGTGAGGGGAGATGAGAGGTGAGGAGACATTGAGGAGTGAGGGGAGATACTGAGAGGGGTGAGGGAGAGACTGGGGAGGTGGGGAGGGGAGATACTGAGAGGGGTGAGGGAGACATGAGAGGGTGAGGGGAGACACTGAGGGTGGAGGGAGACATTGAGGAGGAGGGAGATACTGAGAGGTGAGGGGAGATACTGAGGAGTGAGGGGAGACATGGAGAGGGGTGAGGGGAGACATGAGAGGGTGAGGGAGACACTGAGAGTGAGGGAGACATGAGGGGTGAGGGGAGATACTGAGGAGTGAGGAGATACTGAGAGGGTGAGGGGAGATACTGAGAGGGAGATACTGAGGAGGAGATACTGAGAGGGGTGAGGGGAGATACTGAGGAGGAGGAGACACGGAGAGGGTGAGGGGAGATACTGAGAGGTGAGGAGATACTGATGAGGAGGAGATACTGAGAGAGGGTGAGGGGAGACACTGAGGAGGGAGGGAGGATACGGGAGAGGGTGAGGGAGATACTGAGAGGGGTGAGGGAGATACTGAGAGGGTGAGGGGAGATACTGAGGAAGGAGAAGGCTGAGAGGTGAGGGAGACACTGAGAGGTGAGGGAGATACTGAGAGAGGGGAGATACTGAGGAGGAGAGACATGAGAGGGGAGGGATACGGGAGGGAGGGAGATACTGAGAGGTGAGGAGACATGAGAGGAGGGGAGACATGAGAGTGAGGGGAGATACTGGAGAGGGTGAGGGAGATACTGGAGGAGGGAGAGGCTGAGGAGGAGGAGATACTGAGAGGTGAGGGAGATACTGGAGAGGGGTGAGGGAGACACTGAGAGTGTGAGGAGATACTGGGAGAGGGGGGGAGACACTGAGGAGTGAGGGAGATACTGGAGAGGTGAGGAGATACTGAGGAGTGAGGAGACATTGAGAGGGTGAGGAGATACTGAGAGGTGGGGGAGGGAGATACTGAGGAGTGAGGGAGACACTGAGAGGTGAGGGGAGACACTGAGGAGGAGGGAGAGGAGAGTGGGGAGGGGACACTGAGAGGGTGAGGGGAGATACTGAGGTGAGGGAGATACTGAGAGGGGTGAGGGGAGATACTGAGAGGGGAGGGAGATAGAGGGGTGAGGGAGATACTGAGAGTGAGGGGAGACACTGAGGTGAGGGGAGATACTGAGAGGTGAGGGAGACATGAGAGGGGAGGAGACACTGGAGGGTGAGGGGAGACACGGAGGAGTGAGGGAGACATGGAGAGGGTGAGGGAGACACAGGTGAGGAGAGGATTGAGAGGGTGAGGCATTGAGGGGTGAGGGAGATACTGAGAGGGTGAGGGATATATTGTCATTTTTTCTTGTTGTAGCAATACGTAACCGAACCCAAAGGCCACCTCTG